GGAAGGGGTGGAAGGGGTGGTAAGGGGTGGTAAGGGGTGGTAAAGGGGGGTAGGGGGTGGTCGGGGGGGAGGGTGGAAGTGGTAGAGGGGGCTGCGCCGGCAGAAAAGCGAGCGTAAGCGAGCATTTGATGCTTGTTAGATATAATAGATAGTGTACGGAGTACGGATAATATAAGAAGCAGATCTTGATACACATAAGATTCATATGTCTCCAACATATTCATCCGTGACACCCATTTCGACACCTAACAGTTCCAGGTGTTCTAATCGAGCAGAGAAAGGGAGGAAAATAAAGGAAGAATCAGTACCGCTCCATCCTCATCTTCCTCCCCCTCTCACCAGGAACAAAAGGGGGCAATTAAATGCCTTAGGCACCAATCGATATATTCTTCTTGAAAAAAACCCCAACGTAGACCCCTTATTCAGAAAACTCTCAGCTCTCCTCGAAACAAAAGACAAAAGGAAAAAAAAAAAAAAAAAAAAAAAAAAAAAAAAAAGAGGTAAGGAGCGACAGTAGGAAACAACTCGGAGATTATCCACCATTAATTAAACCTCCCCCTTCCCTGTTCCATCCCGTCCCCGGTTCAGTCCACCACTCATCCGCAAGCACAAGCCTTCGTCGCGCGCATAGTGAAGAGGTAGAAGCTATGGGTAGCTGAGGAAAGGAGAACGGCCTAGCAACCTGACCACGACACTCTATGGCTCTTCTCCCAAAGGGCGAGAAAAAGTAATTGACACCGTTCGACCGCGTATCCTGTGGATCTCAGGAGAAAAGTGACTTGTCAAACGCTGCGACCATAGTGTGATTGCATTTAGACATCGATGAAGGTTACCGGCTGCTGCAAGTTGGCAGAGCAGGATTGGATCTATTTGGGGGTGAAAAGGATATTTATATTAGTATTTGCGTGCTTTCATTGGAGAAGTCGAACCAGTAACATGTATGTGGTAGGTTGCTGAAGTTTCCGAGACTGGATGAAACTTACTCCTTCGTTGTTGTTGCAGCAGACAATCAGACTGTTGCAGCTGACAGAGCTGCCTTCCATAGCAGTGCAAGTAGTTCCGAGGGTGCTTTCAGGGGCGCAGCAGAAGGGTCCGCCCGAAGAGCAGGAGATTCTCTGGAAGACTGGGCCATCGGGGCGTGTTGGACGTGCTGGGCGCGATGGGCGACGGCCGGGGGTGGCAGCAACGCTGGTGGCGAGCAGAGCGACGATGGCGACGAAGTTGGTGAGCTGCATTTTTGTGGTTTGGGGGTGTTTGATTAAGAATGAGATTCTTAAAAACGTTTTGAAGATTTGATACTGATTGCAAGTAAGTCTTGAGATATCCTTTTGATGCCTTGATGATGATGAGAAGAGAAGAAAAAAGGAAATTTGGATGGGAAGGGGAGGTCTATTTATGCGTTTTCTGAGGCCTGCATTCCTCTATCCCCTTCATCATGCCCCCCGATGAAGTGCTGGACGTTGTTGGTTGGTTCGTCTCGTCCTTGCAACCCCTCCTTCACGATCATACTTCAGGGTCAGTAGAGCCTCACTTCGTCGAATTGGAAAACGCCCTGGCGCATCCACGATAACGCACAGCGAGTGTCTCGCCTGTCGCCTCGTGGCTGATATGCTGGCGAAGGCAGACTGTGTGGCGAGAATCTCAGTTTCTGTTCTCACCCTGCTGAATGTTCCGGCCCCTTTTCCTTGTACATGAATGTGGTAACACTTGACCATTCCCACGAGCCGATGGCGTTAAGGTTGTGCAGAATAAGTGGTGTCTATATTTAAAATAGAATTGGGGTTCGGTCAGGGCTTGATCGTGTCAACTTCACACAAAATTCCTTAGAGAAGCAGCCAAGCGACAAATGGCGTTCAGGCCAGGCGACGAGTGTGCACTTCCGGCATGGCAAATCTATCCTTGATTGCAAGCTGAGTGGAAAAACCAGCGTGGCTGGTCAGCTCCGGATACAAACAAAAACTGACCCAGGCCCACGGGAATTGGCAGGGCTAAGGATATGAGAATTCAAAATCGGTTTGCTAGCAAACCCCATGGGCCAATCATCCGTAGAGGGGGCGTTAAGGTCAGAGTTTTTCTTCCAAATCGTGAGGCTCAGTTCAAGAAATGGCGCGTGATGAGCTGTACCTTTGGAGTAGCAGGATACTCGCCTAAGATTCGCAAATCAGAAACGAACGTGCAACACATTGCGGTGGAGACTGGGATAGATGAAGATATGTATATCCCAGGGGATAGAAAAATAGGCCCTTGAAGCTGGTAGCTATAGCTGAATAGTAACACAACGAAGCCGATTTGGCGGACTCTTAGGAGAACTGCAAGCCATTTAACTCCATTTAACAAGACATGAAAGTATATCCCCCCTCGCCAGAACCTTTTGAATGCACACATGAGCACCCTAGATCGGTTGTTGACAGTCTCCAGCGGTGAGATACCAGCTATCTAGGAGTAAGAAAGAACCAACTGGACGCAAAGAAACGTGAACGACACTTCCAAAATATTTTCCAATTAACCCATTATCAATATCATGGAGGATGAAAAAAAACCGCCAAAAATGCGATAATAATTCGTCCTGGTAGTCAACTTAAAACGATATTACTTGCGGACAAGCTGTGTATGTAGAGTCGAAATAATCTGCACCATAATGTTTTGGTGAGGCTCAATCGAAGCCAATCAGCAACGAGTGGACATTTAGTTTCCCGCTAAGCCCGCCGATGGTCCAGACCCCAAGAACACAACATTCAGACAAGCCTGGAATTAGCTCTTGTCTTACAGCTTTTAAACCTGGACCAAGCGGCAGTGAGCCACACGAAACTTTCAAGCATTCCCCATTTCGATTTGCAAGTCAGGAACAGGATACTTCGGCGAAAAGGATGTCCAGATGTGCCACTGTCACCCTGCAGCTAAAAGATTCCGGTATCACAAACGGTGACAGGCTACTTCACTTCAGCTTGGCGTGCAACAAACAGCACGCCTGGGTGCGGAAATCTGATGCCGAATGGACTGGCCAGGTAATAGTTCGAACTGCAGCGTTATGTAAAATAAGAAAAACAAAATGGAGGAAATGATTTTTTTCCAGCCCCAAATAAAATGGGAATGCAGCTGCGATAAGACGTAAGATTTCATTAGTCCGGGAAATTCTCACATGGCCCAGCCAGGCTCGATCAATCGTGGGATGATCGTATTGAAGCCTCTCACTGAAAGCCATATCGACTCTGGGAGGCTTTTCATCGCAGGCTTTTTGCGTGCCAATGGAGAGAAACCGATGTCTCAAAGTAAAAGTGGCAAAAGCCCTAAAACAAGACAGGGAATGACAACCTCCGACCCTCGTCCTATATTTAGCTTCTCCACACGAAAGGCCGTTGGGTTGTGCTAGCTCATAATGGCTGTCGATGTCTGCCTTTTCTTGTAGAGGACGAAGAAAAAAGGATATCAAATGTGACGAAAAAAGGTAGGCGGAGGGCTTGGTACAAATTGAGCCCTCTTGCCACTGAAAAATAATAATAATAATAATAAAAAATAAAAATAAAAATAAAAATAACAAAAAAAATATTTGCCAATCCGTCTCCATCGCTTCCCTTCTACCTCAAAAATTTTTCCGCCTATTTTTTTTACGCTGGGGAATAACCTTTCCACCGCGACGATGAAGCTCATTCAGACCTCTATCTTCCTCTCTATCTTCATGCTGCTGACGCAGTCTATTGCTATCCCCGTGCCTGACCCGGTTCCCGCTCCGAAGGACGGCGACGTTGCTTTGGCGGAGAGAAGATTCCCGAAGCTGCCAGGGTTCGGATTGCCAAAGGAACTTTGCCCGCAGCCCCCTCCGCAGCCCCCTGTCCAGCAAACGAATCAGTGCTCCACCGGTGTCCCGTACTGCTGCAGCACTGAAGGAGGGTGTAAGTGCTCAAATCATAAATACCCTCCCGAGGAAAGCGGCCTCAAGCGGCGACAATGTTTTGCTAACCAGTCCGCTCCTCTAGCCCACAACTGTGTGAACTCCCACGTCGAATGCACGCAAACCGTTATTTGTTGCAACAACAACTTCGGGGTAAGTAAACTCATGAGATGCACCCCCTCATATCAGTCGATATTTCGTATTTTCAACAGGTGGGCTAATACCACAAAAAACAACCTTCAGTTCCAAGTGTGCATGGGTGACATCGACTTCAACATGCCGATCAACATCGAGATTAACCTTTAAGCTGTTTCTCAGTAGCACACACACACGCTCAGTGCGTGTTGTCTGTGCGTCGAGATCCGAAGATGGGAGGGAATTGCTGAGAGTTGGTTCAAGAAATACTGAACGGATGCTAGGGGAATGGGTGATAGCTTCGTTCAGATTTCGACTTCCTTGGGCCTGGCTGTTGGTGTAGCTTTCGCGGAGATTTTATTATTTATATAATCTTGCATTAGGATGGATAACCTCATCAGCGCCGAAAAAGGTTTCCTTTGTTTTTCAACCCGATTTGGTTGTTTAGTTTCCAAGGTCCCCAACTCTCTTTACCATTTTGCGTTCTTCTTTCGGTCTGTAATAGAAGGACTCGTTCTTTTTTGGACCTTCTCCCGCTCTCACCCCCCCAGAGATTCTTTCACTTCTTCCTCATGTCTCATCAGTTAGCCATTCCTGTCAATTTTCGAGAGGCAAATGAGAATCACTTTCTCCCCGAAATTTGTTCCATGGCATTTCAAATTCCGGCAGAAAATATTTCTCAGCTAGTCGGAGGGGGAAGATCATTCATTTTGCAGATTTCCCTTCACACATCGTAATTCAAATGCCATTGCGACGTCTGCGGTTGTCTCAAACCGCTATCCCCAGTTTCTATTCGTCCCAGAAACCAGAAATGTGCGCATGGGCATCAGCAGAGCGGCCCTGAATAGTGCAAATTAATCCCTATAAAAATGCGTAAAAACAAAACTGCCATCCCCTGACAATACAAAGGCTATGGCATGCATTGCATGCATTGGAAAGGAGGCAAAGCATAGCCAGGAATGCCGTCGCGTGAATCTCCCTTTCCGACTGACCTGTGTGTTCCAACGAATATTGACACTCACGATTTCTTGAACTCACTCAGTTTCGAACGTTTGTTCCATTCCCACATTTTTTAGCATATTTGAAAAAAACGAAAAAATCGTATATGAATCACTAGTTCCTTGTATTTGGAGAGAACGTCGGGGAGTCTCAGCTCTATATTCGTATATCCCCCCCACAAAAAAAAGTGAATTCCTGCAAAAAAACAAGACAAGGCCGAGCCATATGGGCTGGGGGGTGAATCTTCCACCTCACCCCCCCCTCCTTCGAATGCGAAATCCCTTACTTATCGTAATCCACCGACTGTAATCGACATATTGTATTTAAAAGTTGGAAAAATTAGTTGGAGAAACAAACAAAAAGTATCGAAAGAAAGCTGGTGCCAAGACCGAAACAAAGAAAAACCAACTTTTCCGTGCAAAAAACGCTGTAACGTGACCTCATGTGACATCACGTGCACCCCATCAAAAATTGTGGGATGGTTAATCTGTTGTATTCGTGTAGGAAGAGCTAGCTATATATATTACATATGAGATCACGTGTAGGCGGAGCGGTCGCTACGGCAACGCCACTAGGGCGGATGCTACACCCCCCCTTGCATCGCCATGCGAGATCACAAACACCATAATAAAGAATCAATCATCTCTTGCAGATCTAGCTATGCCATTCTCAAATCCATTCAAATCATGCTATCTGCATTGAGTTTGTGTATTCTGTCCCTCTTCACCTGTAAAATCTAGTAAATCAAGGAATTGATGAAATGCAATTGCATTCAAGAGTTTAGTCAATTCATCTGCTGTTATTTCTTCAGTTGAGATGTAATCAATTGAGATTATGTCATTGTTCAATTGGCTGCGGGCATAATGGAATTGAGTGTCAATATGCTTGCTTCTCACAGTGATTGCAGTCACTGTGATAAGATCAATCACTCTCTTATTATCTGTCTTGATTGACAGAGAGTCTTCTGTTTCAATGAAGCTCAGATTCATTATCATACTTCTCAACTATGTTGCTTCATGTACAGTATCACTCAACATCACATATTCAGCCTCATTAGAGCTTAAGAATACACAGAATTGCTTGCTCAATTACCATAAAATCAGTGTATTTCTCAATTTGAAGACATAACTGAATGTAGATTTATAATCATCATTCAACAGGTCAGCTCAATTGAAATCTGTATATTCAATCAGTATATATGCCATGTTTGAGAATTCATTCTCAGATTCCTCATTATCATTCTTTACATAGAATATGTCAATCTCACATGTTTCTTTCAAATATTGAATGATGTGTAATAGAGCCTTTTATATCTTAGAGATGAGAGCAGTGTTCTTCTACATCAGTAGAGATGCTGCACAGGTGATATTCAGCTGCAGCTTGACAGCTAAGTATTACAGACATCTGACATTATACTGAAATTATTACTTTGTAAAATCACTTTCTTTTTCAGAGACAGAGAAGTCATCTAGACATAGATTCTCATTCATGAATGTACAGACAGCAGTCACATCATCTAGGTGAAAATCTTCTATCAATTCATTAATATAATATCAAAGTATTAATTTGATTTCATTCTTCATATGTTTCACTTTCATTTCTAGATATTTTGTGAGTTTCTTTAAGTCTTTGATCTCTAGTTTTTGCTGCAAAATGTTAACAAGTCAATCAGCATTCTTCAGAGTATCTGCAAAGATATGAAGATCATCAATATATATAGTTATATACAGGTGTTTTCAGGCTGAATGCTTTCAAAGAGCAGGGTCATAAGAACTCAGACTGAAGTCATTTTCTCACAGTATAGCTGTCAAGTAGTCATACTATATTTTAGCAGCTGAATTCAATTTATATAGAGATTCTTCAACTGCACAGATGAGTATATACTGAGTTTCTTATTCAAAGTCTGTGAATTATCTTATATAGACTGTTTTCTCTAATCTATCATGCAGATATGTCATTACTATATTCACTTGCTGTAGAATTCAATCATACTTTGTAGCAATTGTGAACATCATTCAGTTTGTTGTATCTGTAATCATAGAGGTGTAAGTCTTCTGACAAGTGTCTCTCTTTAATCAGTTATCACATACAACTTATCAAGATTTTCATAATATATCATTCTCATCAGCATTGAGATCATCAGAGCAGTTCTTTTCAATGAATACTCAGTGATCAGGTGCTACTGGTTCATCATATGAGACATCAGAACATGGAATAAGTGTTCAGATCTTGCATCTCTCAAAGTCAGATATTTCACATTGCATTGATTTCTTTCAATAATCTCTCATCATCTCTGATCTACTCATAGCATTCTTGTGTGATTTCAGAAGGAAATCAGTAATGAGAGTGAGAGTATAAGCTGCAAATGTCTTCACTGGCTGCATTCAATCTGTACTCATCAATTCAGAAATGTCAGAATTCTTCATTAAATAGATGATAGAAACAGTGTCAGTTGCTGCAGTTGTAGTTATAGTAATCTTTGACATTTCTTGCACTTTTGCAGGGAAAATCACATCACTTGTATCAATAATTTTATCTGTTATAGAACTTCATAAGCAATAGATTGAATGTCTGTGAAATTCAATAAGTTTATATGAATTGATCTGTGTGAACAACTTATTCAACAGCTTCTGTGATTCATGAAGATGAGTAAAAACATCAGTTTCAAGCTCGTGGAAATGTATGATCTGCGGCGGGGCATTTGTCAATGCTGAAAAAGAAATTGTATGAGAGCTATGAACAGCTTCTTTACTATTATCATCTGCAACTGCAGATCAATACTTTTCATTATATAGAACTGTAGATGTGAGTGTATTATTTATGATTGAAACAACTGTTTTCAGAATGTCTGTTCAGAATTTCTTCAGGATCTTCTTGTCAATAAGAACTGCCCTGGCATGGGTCATAATTGTACATATTCCGCGCTCAGACACGTCATCTTGGTGTGATGATTGAGGAGTAGTTGATTCTTATACTGTGCTATGATTGATGAACAATGCTGTAATCTTCATGAATCTGAACACATTATCAACATCAGTTCTGACATATGCTGATGCAGTAAAACCTAGGTTCTTCATGAATTGAACTCAGTGCACATAGTAATTGTAAGCTTGATTCTTGATGTATAAGAAATAGATTCATCTATATCTGATTGCATCATCTGTGATTAACATATAATATTTATTACTCTGCTGCGATTCAACAGAGTGATCTGTAGACTCACTCAATGTTTATCTATCATCTGTAAGATTGATATGAATCTGCTTCATTGAGCATACAGCTCATGATATGAGAGTGATTGAGTATTTACATGTCATGTCTGCTTTAACACAGGTGTTGCAAAAGAAATTGGTCTTAGTGTCTTTGACACAGATGCTAGATAGTGAATTCTTTGTCAATGCTATAATAGCTCCTGTGTGTATATGTCCCAGGTCAACATATCACTCTGCAAGTGTTTTCGCGGTTGTAGGTGATTCTCAATGTTGAGGTTGATCAACAGTGAAATCATTGTCATCAATAGTGACCATGGCTTTAGCATAGTCATTATCATATACATATGATTTCACTGTGAAGTAGACTGCTTTAGACTCATGATGTATATCAACTTCTGACATTCTTTCAACTATTTTATAAATTGAGTTTTGAGATGTATAGATTGCAGTGAAAATCACTTTACTTGATACTTTAATAATGAAATAGAATGAAGTGTTTAAGCTTGAAAGCTTATATTGAAAACCCTGGTTCTTCAACCTGATAAATGACAATAGGTTGACTGTGAGATTGGGAATATAATGAACATTGCAGACAGTGATATTCTCTTCTTCAGATTCTAGAAGAAGATCATCAATCTCTTTGACATAGCTGTAATCTTCATTCACTGTGTGAATCTTCATATTGTCATTGTACATCTTTCACTGAATGAGAGACTGCTTTTCACCTATCATGTAGAAACTCGCACATGTGTCAAGGAATCAAGGTTTGCTTATTGTATCAATAGTTGCTGAAAAAGCAATTGCTGCATTGACAGCTGCAGGTTGTGAGATCATAAGGTCAGAGAATTTCTCCTTCTTATCATCTTTATTCTTCTTTTTACCCTTCCACTTGCCGCGTCTGCTGGTACTGGTATTGTTGCTATTATTCTTCTCAGATGTAATGATATATTTCTTGTTTAACTCATGTCACTGTTCAGTAGCAAGTTCTGAATACAGATGTCAACAGGTGTTTTTCTGATGTCATCTCAAACTGCATATCTCACATTTGAAACTGTGTGTGAATGATGTAGAGAGAGTTGTGATAGTTGCATTGACTTGCTGAGACTTAGGATTTTCATCCTTGAACTTGCTTATACAGTTTGTTAACTGTTTCATGAGATCATTAATATCAATATTGTGTATAGAGTTCTGACCAGACGCGTAGAAATTGTCTAAATGTGTCTTGATAAAAGACTTTTGATGCTTCTTCAGATCAATAAGAAAGAGATTGTGATAGAAGTCTTCTGAGTTATTTGTTAATTTCTTATGATGTATAACTAGATAACAGAATCTTCTCTGAAATGTCAGATAATTGTTATCTCTGATATATAAGATGATGAATTCTTTCACAATATTCATACATTTCTCTGTAAGTGAGACAGCATATTCAACTTCAATTCTTTCTCATAGCACAGCTGCATTATCTGGCTCAAGGATTTCAATGATTGTATATACAGGTTCTAATAAGAACTGCAACATATGTTAATACAGTGCTTTGATATGAATACTTCATTTTTCAGCACTTAACATGTCTTGACTGATGTCTTCTGAACAGACATATTGATTCTTTATAAGAATGTTGAATCTGCTGATGACTTCGGCATCCGCAAGGATTTCTGTACATCAGATCTTGTAGTTATTATCATCAAATGTGATTACAGCTTTGATATTCATGGCTTTTTGAACATTCTTTTGATATTCACAGATCTCAGATTTGAAATCATCTGCTGCAGAGATAGCTACTTGACATGTGCTCATTCTGTCACAGAACACTATCAGGTCATTGAATATCATTGATATCATATCATCTGAACTCATTCTAGACATGGTACTTGTGTGTCGTGCTTCTGTACACATTGCTTATGAGCTTGAGATGTCATTATCTGATCCATAATCTGCTCTGCTGTTTGCAGATGACTTCATGATCTCTTCTGTGACTTTCATATATTATGTAGTATCTATTTTCTCTGATTCTTTGTTAATAGATGCCTGAGTATGAGGATGTGAATGTAAAGTTCTCCTTCTATCACTCTGTGATGTAGACATATCACTCATCGGTCAAAGAAGAGTTGAATGAAGGAATTGAAAAGAAAAAAAATGTGTTATATTATACTGTAGAGTTCTGCTATTTCAATCACCAGCCAAGCAGATACACTTGAAACATGCAATGTAAATGTGATAAAAGAATTCTTCTATCCAGGGTGAACACATTCAATGCTTACACAGGTGTTTTTAAACAAAAGTAAAAACATGCTATCCAGGCTATAACCTGTGGAATGATTAATCTGTTGTATTCGTGTAGGAAGAGCTAGCTATATATATTACATATGAGATCACGTGTAGGCGGAGCGGTCGCTACGGCAACGCCACTAGGGCGGATGCTATAAAAATCCATGGTGGATATATTATCTCAGCGGGCTCAGACCTCTGACTCGGTTTGTGTAGAATAGTTGAAGGTTGTATTGATAGATCTATCTACAGGAACATAATATAGTGGTGGGTCACGTGATCAGTGGGATCGCTAACCGCAACGGCTGTAAGGGCCAACACCCCCCCTCGAGATAACAAGAATCACATACAAAAAAAAAAACACTCAAACCATCAAGATAGTCTGTCAAAACCAAATACAAATGTAAAATTAAACATTCTCAACTTTTATGCTTGTAAGACCTAGCAAAATCATGAATTGTGTAAATATCATATTGTTTAGAGGTTTAGTGAGTTCATTCACTGCTATCTGAGTGATGAGAATGTATTCTAAATCAATGATTCTCTGATTCAACTGTTAATATAAAAAATGAAAACACATGTCAATGTATTTACTTCAGACTGTAATAACTGTCATCTTTGTGAGATCTATAGCATTCTTATTATCAGTGAGAATCTGTATTAAAGATGTAGTGATGAAGTCAAGCTCAATTATAAGATTTTGAATTCATGTTACCTCACAGATCATCTTACTAAGAGTCACATATTCAGTCTTATTAAAACTTAGAGATATATAAGATTGCTTCACTGAATACTATGAAATCAGACTGTCTGTAAGCTTAAAAATGTAGTCAGATATTGATTTTCTATCATTATTCAAGAGACCAGCTCAATTGAAATCTGAGTAGTCAAAGAGTAGGTAGAAATCATCAGGGAAATCAGAGATAATGAAAGAATCAGTAGAAACAGAAAAATTGATAGAAATGAACCTCTCATACAGACTGCATCTGTAGAAAATACTCAGATTCATGATCTCTTTCAAATAATATATAATATGTAATAGAGTCTTTCAACATTGAGATGTTGAATCAATATTTCATTGAGCAAGTAGTGAGGCAGTATAAGTGATATTAGAATGTGTTTTAACTGCAAGATATTGCAAGCAACTCACATTATATTAATATCACTGAATTGTGAAATCAGTCTCTTTCTCAGATATAGAAGAATCATCAATATAAAATTCATTCTTCATTGATATTCTGATGATAGCTGCATTATCAAGATAGAAATCTTCAACAAGATATTTAATATATTGATAATATATTAAATCAATTCTCTTGTTCAAACAATTGATCTTTATACTCAAATACTTGATTAACTGACATAGATTCTTGACTTTCAATTTCTCACTAAGTATACTCACTAATTAATCAGCATTCTTAGAAGCTTCAGATATAATGTTGAGATTGTCAATATAGATTGTTATATAAAGATGATATCTGAATATATGATATCAGAGTACTGAATTATAAGTACTGACTGTAAATTCAAGATCACTCAACAGAGCTGTTAAGTAATTATATCAGATCTTCACTACAGAGTTCAGACTGTATAGACTACTCTTAACTGTGTAGATAAGCATTTTCAGTAAATCTGTCTCAAATTCAGTGAGTTGTCTCATATAGATCTTTTTAGTGAGATACTTATAAAGATATGCTATCACTATATTCATCTGACAGAGTGTTCAACTGTGTAGTACTGCTATTGTAAAAAGAATATAATTAGCAGTATCAGTGATGACAGAAGTGTAGATCTCTTCTCTAGAATTCTTCTTAAGTCAGTTATTATAAATCACTCAATACAATTTTCTAAGAATATCATCAGAATCAGTATTCAGGTTCACAGGCCTATCTTTCTCAAGAAATACTCAACAGTCTGAAGTAATCAGTTCACTTCTCAGAATATCAGATCTAGAAATCAAACTTTATGTATTATGTCTCTTCAGGTCAGTAATCTCGCATTGTATAAACTTCTTTCAATAATCTCCTATCTTATCTGACTGAGATGTGGCATTCTTATAGAACTTCGGGAGGTTGTCTGTAATGAGGCTTGAAGTGTAAGTAGTCAGTGATTTCGCGGGCTACAATTATGTGAAATTCGGATCATCAATATCAGAAGTGTCTTTATCATCAATTAGATGAATATCAGGTTCTGATTCACTGACATTATTAATGAATGTCACAGATGTGATAACTGATTCTGATTTTTCAGTGATCAGAAATCTCACATCACTACTGACAATAATCTTATCAGATTCAGAATGTCATAGATAATATATCAATGTATCACTGAATTCAATGACACAATAGAAATCAGCGAATCCAAGAAAGCTTATTCACAGCTGCTGAGATTCATGCAAGTGAACAAAAACCTCTGCACTTAATCAGTGAAAATGCCTTACATTCAGTGAGATATTTGTAAGTGCATATTAAGAAATCTTATATGAACTTGAAACCACAGAAGTCTCTGCAGTAGAGGATCAAAATTTTGAGTTGTAAAGAACTGTAGATGTGAGAGTATTATTGATTATTATAATCACTGTCTCTAAAACATCTGTTCAGAACTTCTTAGAGAGATTACCTTTCAAAAGAGCAGCTCTAACCTGTCTCATGATAGTACAGATTCCACATTCAGAAACATCATTCTGATGTAATGAATGTAATGCTGTTGATTCTCATTTAATATCATATGAATTCATAACTGTGTGCATACATGTGAATCAGAAAACATTATTAATATCAGTCTGTAGAAAAGCAGGAACTGTATACCTGAGATTATTCATGAATCTGAGTCACAACTCAAAGTATTGAACAGTCTCATTCTTGAACTTTAAAAAATACACTTAACAGTAGCAAGTTGCATCACAGATGATAAGCATTCAGTATTTCATTCTCTGATGAGACTCTAAGAGATAATCAGAGAGGTCTTTCAATGTATGTTCATCATCTGCAAGGTTAATATGAACCTTCTCAATGAGTTGAATAGATCTAGACATCAGTGTTTTTAAATAATCTTGCATCATATCAGTCTTGACACATTTCTTACAAAAGAACTTAGTCTTAGAATCTTTAATTGTGACTTCAGTATGAGAATTCTTAACTATAGTAATTATAGCATCAGTGTGAATGTGACTGAGATTATAATACCAATTCAAAAGAGTCTTTGATATCTTTGATGTCTGTGTTTTCGCATCCGCAGAATCGATATTATTAACAGTAGTGACAGCAGTCACAGGAAGATCAACTTTTCAATTAAAATTGTACTTATAAGACATCATTGCAATGTACTTGACTGCTCTGTTCAGATGATTGAGATCCTCATTGAACTCCTGCTCATTGATCTTATATATGTTGTTCTGAGTGATCTGAACTGTATGGAAAATAACATCATTCAGAGCTCTGCAAATGAAAAATGAGGGAATAGTGAAAGACAATGTAAATCAGAATCCCTGATCTTCAAGCTTCATAAATGAGAGTAGATTAACTGTAATATTAGAAATATAGTGAACATTCTGCAAGTTAACATCACTACTCTTAATCTTCAAGGTGACAGTCTCAATCTTCTTGACAAACTCAGTTTCTTCAGTCACAGAATCAACAGAGATATTATCATTAAAAGATTTGATATTTGAAAAAGAATGAAGCTCATCTGTCATATTCAGGCTTGCACATGTGTTCAAATACCAAGATCTAGAGAATGATTTTCTGGTGACTGTGAAAGAGAAATAGAACTCAATCTTTGTAATTGCTGCATTTGCTGCTGATTGAGAGCTTATCAAGTTATTCTTCTTCTCTTTCTTCTTATCATTCTTCTTTTTCTTTTTATCAGAGTGTAAGATGAAACACCTGTCAACAGTATGATTATATCTTCTGCAGTGAGTGCACTTTCATACAGGTGTGCTTTTGTCCTCATCTTTGTTCTTATCTTTGTTCTTATCTTTGTTCTTTTTTGCAGTTACAGAATCAGCCTGAGGCTGCTTTTTCCACTCAGTGATAATCTTCTTGAATGTATGATTGATCAGTTGCTTCATCAAATCATTGATATCAATGTTGACAATGAGTTCCTGGCCAGTGAAGAAAAACTCATTCAAATGTGTCTTGACAAACAGTCTTTGATAATCTTATAGATTATTGAGGAAAAGATCATGATATATATTCTCAGTGCTCTGACAGAGCTTCTTGTAACAGACAATAAGATAGCAGAAACATCTCTGAAAAGTAAGATAATCATTCTTCTTGACTTATAATTTTATCAATTTCTTGAAGATATTAACTCATTCTTCTGTCAGTGATATTGCATATTTAACATTGATCTTGTCTCACAGAGCTGCAGCATTGTCAGCTTTCAAGGTTTCAATAGTGATTTGAATGTTTTCAACAAGACTTGATAGCATACACCTATATAGAGACTTGGAACAGATCCTTCACTTCTTGAAGTCAATATAATGTGTAAAAGAGAATTCTTGTTGAATTCTCAATAGAATGTTGATTTCATCAATAACTTCTGCATCAGTCAACATATCAACACACCAGGCTTCATAATTAGAGTCATTAAATGTG